TGGAGCAACTTTATCCCTTCCAACCCATACTAGATTCCATTTTCAGCACTCATCAAGAATATACTTCTGGACACTCGAATGTGGCTCTTTGTCATAAGATTCAAGAGCCTTAAAGATCGTTTCTGTCAATTTGGCACTTCCTGTACATGTTTATAAACAATTTGACTTTGTTCTTAGATTCCAAGAAAACCATCATTTTTTTGTCAATGGAAAAGTATCAGCACATGGAGGAAACAGAATAAGAGAAGATCTGTTCTTAATTGGCAGAATTATGAATACAGTTTTTTTTAGAGTAGTAGCATGAAGATGCTTCGAATCTACAAAATCTGGCTCTACATCTAATAAGTATGTGATATCCCAGTCCAAACATTAACTGAAAGATGAATGTGCTCATAGCATCTTCTGGAAGTGTTCTTTGAGTTATCTGATCTGGTTTGGTAAAACCAGTTATTTAATTTGAAAGATGAATGTGCTCATAGCATCTTCTGGAAGTGTTCTTTGAGTTATCTGATCTGATTTGGCAGAACCAATCATTGAATTTGGAAGAGGAATATGCTCATAGCATCTTCTAGAAGTGTTCTTTGAGTTATCTGATCTGGTTTGGCAGAACCAATCATTGAATTTGGAAGAGGAATATGCTCATAGCATCTTCTGGAAGTGTTCTTTGAGTTATCTGATCTGGTTTGGTAAAACCAATCATTGAATTTAAAAGATGAATTTGATCATAGTAGAAATAAGGAGACCCAATAGCATCTTCTGGAAGTGTTCTTTGAGTTATCTGATCTGATTTGATATAAAACCCAGGACCAATCATTGGAATTAAAAGATGAATTGCATGATCGTCTTCATTAAGAAGTTTCTTTTCAAGCTTCTTTTGCTTATTCCTTTCCCAAAAATCATAGCCCAAGTTTCGCCTTTTAACTGGGATCATTGCATAATGGCTTCCCATCTTTTACTAGAATAAATACGTCAGCAGCCTTAGCCATTCGAGAAACACATATAAAATTTGTCAATTCTGCAATTGATGAATCTGAACCACATCTCTCCATGGCTATTGAAGCTTCAGCCTCTGAGAATCCCATTTTTGTCAAGTATAACAGTTTATTCTCCTCATCAGAATCAGAATTCAAGATTTCTTGGTATTAAAAGAACTATCGATATCTGTGAAATCATCTTGAAAGGACATTTCATAATCAGATGAGTTGTTATCAGAATCAACATTTCACATGAAGGCAAGCTTTTCAAGAGCATATACTATTGAGTTTTATTCTCAAGAAGTTTTGTATCTACATCTACATTTGTCAAAGATGATAGTTTCTCTGTTTTGAAGAAGAAAGATCTATTGGGTTTTTACAATTGAAGAAAGACTCAATTCACCAATCTGAAATCAAATAAATTGAACATTCATGCATCATATTTAGGTGTTTGCAAAAATAGGTGCATTTTCATTCATTTTCATCCATACTGAATTTTTAACAGGAATTTCAAAGATTTTGGCAAAGATTTAAATCCATCATTCAATGGATTAACTTTTCCAGTTAGAGTTCATAATGAGAAGAACTCATCTGAAGAAGGAAGAATAAGTTCATAATGAGAAGAATTTGTTCAACCTTTTGTTTGAATTCATCATTTGATGGATTAACATTGCCAGGTAGAGTTCATAATGAGAAGAACTCGTCATCTGAAGAAAGAAGAAGAAATTCATAATGAGAAGAATTTGTTCAATCTTTTGCTCAAATCCATCATTTGTTGGATCAGCTTTTCCAGAGAAAGTTCATAATGAGAAGAACTCATCTGAAGAAGGAAGAATAAGTTCATAATGAGAAGAATTTGTTCAACATTTTGTTTAAATTCATCATTTGATGGATTAACATTGCCAGGTAGAGTTCATAATGAGAAGAACTCGTCATCTGAAGAAGAAGAAATTCATAATGAGAAGAATTTGTTCAACCTTTTGCTCAAATATATCACTTGATGGATTATCTTATCCAGAGAAAGTTCATAATGAGAAGAACTCATCTGAAGAAGGAAGAAGAAGTTCATAATGAGAAGAACTTGTTCAACTTTTTGTTTGAATTCATCATTTGATGGATTAACATTGCCAGGTAGAGTTCATAATGAGAAGAACTCGTCATCTGAAGAAGGAAGAAGAAGTTCATAATGAGAAGAACTAATCTGAAAAAGAAGAAGTTCACAATGAAAAGAGCTTGTTCAACCTTTTGAATGACTCTATTACAGAAGGAAATAGGTCAACATCATCCCCAGCGGAAAGTTCATAATGAGAAGAACTCATCTGAAGAAATAGAAGAATTTATTCAACATTTCCATATTAATCAAGTGAAGTCAAATGAAAAAACTTATTATCTTTTCGTCTTTGCTCTATTCTTATTAACACAAGAAAAAGCAAAGAGGGGCAGCTGAAGATACTCATTTTTTCATTTAAATATTATTTATATTATTATTATTATTATTATTATTATTATTATAATTATTATTATTATAATTATAATTACTAATATTATTATTTATTATTAAAATTATTATTAAATATTATTACAAGCCCAAATCCAACAGTAACCGGCCCAATTCCAGAAACCCAATAGAAACCCTAAACCAGATTAGGGTTTCCCTCTTCCCAGCCGCCTCAGCTTGCTGCCGTTGGATCTGGCAAGATCCAACGGTCCAGAGATGCCCAACAACGAAGCCCTAGGGTATCATAACCCTAGGGACATGTCCCAGCTGCCAGTGCCACGCCGCGACGACGCCGCCTTGCTGAAGAATCCAGAAGCTTTGTTGCTTCAACACTAACCGCACACGTCTCCCCAAATGGTGAGTCACCACTGGAAGTCCGGTGACTCACCGAAGAGCCCTTTTGGGACCGGTCCGATGGCCACACTGGTGATGGCTATAAAGCCATCACCCCATATGCAAGCAAAAACAGAGAAGAACGGGGAGAGACGAGGAAACAACAGAGACAGAGAGAGATACAAAAACTACCAACGATCCCAGTCAACAACAACACAGCAACAACAACAACAAAAAAAAGAGGAAAGAAGCTTACCAAAGAAGCCTTGACCATCGCCAGAGAACAGAAAATACCGAAGGTATTTTCATAGATTTACTCCGATTAGGAGTCTTTTTGGAGAAACAAAGGTCGGATTCGGTCTTAGGGTGTTTAGATCTACGTTTTAGGTGAATTTGGGGAATTTTCGACCACCGGAGGCGGTGGTCGGTGGGGGAATTTACGGCGGCAGACGGCTGCCGGATTCCCTCCGATGAGGGAATATAGAGAGAGGCCAGAGAGAATTCTGGCTCTCTCTCTGCTTGAGAGAGAAAAAAAATGAAATGAAGGCTGGCCCTTCGGGCCAGCCGTTTTGGACCTTAAATAGGCCTTCCCGAACGGCGTCGTTTCGGGAAGGACTATTTGTGTAATTTTAAATTGTTAAATCCCGTCCGCAGCCATCAAGATTTGTAAACTTTACATTTTAGTCACTAAATCAAGTTTATAATCTTTTTAATTCAGATCTTTAATTTTAATTTTATTTATTTTAGTCCTTTGTATTAAAATAATATATTTAGGGTAAATAACAGATTTAATCCCTTAATTTTAATAAATAATATTTTAATACCTAGTTTATGTTTTAATTTATTTTATTCTAATATCCGAATTTTAGATAATTTTATTTTAGTCACTAAATAAATAAAATAAAGAAATAGTATGTTTAATCCCTATAATTTTGATTAATTATGAATTAGGTTTTTAATTTTACTTTTACTATAATTTAGTCATTTATTTTAAATGTTTTCATTTATTTTACTGCTTTTAAATAGATTGTTCTAGTTGTATTTTTATTGTTTTAATTTTACTTGTTTATATTTTTAAATATTTTATTATTATGTATTCATAATAAATAATAATTTATTTTTTTAATAAATTATTTTAATATTTATTTTTCAATATCGAAGAAAAGGACAATCTTAATACAACTGGATGTCCTATTCTGGTATTTCAAAATTAAAAAATATAAAAAAATATTATTTAATTTTATTTAAATTAATATTTATCAATATCAAAGAAAAGAGCTGTCTTAAGGCACCTAGAAGTCCTTTTTTGATATTTTTAAATATTTTTTATAATTTTGAAATAATAGGATTATAAATTAAATATATTTTGAATTTTTAAAATTTTTAATAATAGAGACAATTTATAATTAAAAAGTACCAATTTTGGGCGTTGTAGGGGTGTTAATCCTTCCCTAAACGTAACCGACCACGAATCCCTTTTTATTATTAAAAAGAACGAATTTTTGGTTATAAAAGCAGATCAGTTCATTTTTTAATTGATGTTTTCTTAAAACTCTTTTAAAAAATAATTTTTAGGTATTCGACCTACCTGACCCAAAAGGCCGGTGGCGACTCCCAAATTATTTTCAAAACCATTTATTCACATCAATTTTCCAGCCAAGTATAATATTTCGTGCCCGGACGAAAACCGGTTACGACACACATGTTATTAGAAGCGTTGACTAGTTAATTTAATTATCATATATTCTCGCCGTCCTACTAAATGTGTCTCTTTTTATTTTTAAAATTGTCACATTCAAAATGTCTTATTAAAAAAATTAACAAACAACAACATTTATATTTTCTTTTTTACCCTTATATGTCTCACTATTTTACACCTATCAAAACAAATATGTCAAATTTATCAATTACCTTTTAGGATAATTTTTTCATTTCCCCTAATCAAATATATCTTCTAAAACTATGTGCATAATCAATTATGAATACTATTGGAATCTTTAAAAATAAAAATAAGTCTTACATCGAAATAAATTATAAGTAACTGTGACTAAATTTTTTTAGAAGAAAAGAAAAAAACCCACTTTTGCAATTTAATTCCATTGCACGTGGTGATGCTGAGTTTCATGTCACGTAAAAGTTCTATGTAAAAAATCAAATTATTTTTCGATACTTTGATGTAAGATGATCCTACAATTTCAGATCCGGCTAACTCTACGTGGTAACCCGAAATTTTGGTAAATCCTGATTTTGCCACCCAAACTGGCGGTCACAATTACGAGTCCCCAAGCCGCCGCTTTCTTCCCATGGCCACCGGCGTTGATCCAAGACCAAGATGATCCGGTAGAAGGAGATATCGATGGCGAATCACCATATCTTAACGAGTCTGACCTCCGACTGGAAGACCTCGGCATTGACATTGAGTCGCCATATCTTATTGACGACGCACTCCGGCTCGAAACAGAAGCGTTCAAGTCGCTAGGGCCAGAAGCGTTGGAACACCTCGACACCACTGGTGAATCGCCAATCTCGCTATCTTCATCGGAGAGCGTCATAATTCTACCATTATTGTTAACGTTCTTCTTCGGAAGCGGAGGCAACGGCAAGCTTTTTTTGTTGTTTTTGTCTTCACGAGTCGACGATTTGGAGCGTCGTTTCGAATGTGATATCTCAGGCTCGGTTTTGAAAGTGCCTGGCCATGCTATCGCGACGGAAACATCTTTGCATGGGAAGCATTCGTGGCCGCGCGCGGTGACGACTGCTCTTTTTCCGATGGCCGTGTGTTTAGGCTCCTCGCATCTCCATACAAATACCTGAGAATCTTCGCTTGCACTGATCACGTAGTTTCCATATGAGGTAAACGAAGCTGAAATTTGACTGTTTGTATTCTTAAGCCCTGGCCATCGTATGCAATGAATTACCTTCAAGTTTTTATAAACTACTTATTATACATCTATTCTCGTAGTTTTGTTTTGATCATCAATTTTTTAAATCATACATAATATAACATTTTAATTCCGTTTGTCATATATTGTTAAAAATAAGGGTAAACAACATGTCTAGTATCTAAACTATCAATTTCGGTCATTTTAATATAGTTTTTACTTTTTTTTAAAGTTCATGTCTAATTTTTAGTTTTTTTTTTCATTTAGTGCCCCACTGTTAAAAACTTTACATGTTTAGTATCTAGATTATCAATTTTGGTCAGTTTTTGTACTTAAACTTAAAAAAAATCAAAATTTAATGTTAAATTTTAAACAAGGGTACTAAAATGAAATAAAAACTAAACTTCAGGCATGGTTTTAAAAAAAATAAAAGTTTATGTACTAAAACAGACCAAAACTAATAGTTTAGGTACTAAACGCATAATTTACCTTAAAATAAATAGAACTTATTGACGTGAATTTTTTTTTAAATTTTCAACGGTGACATGACATTATCTTATGGTGATACGTAATCATCATTGTTAATTTCTAATGACAGATGACTAAAATATAACCAAAACATAATGTTAGATATGATTTTGGAAAAAATAACTAAATGACCAAAACAAAACAATAAAAACATATGGGTGACTAAATACATAGTTTATTTATTTTTTGAATAAATATTTTCCAATAATCTCATTTCTTTATGGAATAATCTAGTTCAAAGACAATATACTCTATATATACAGTACTGAGGGTTACCTTTAAATTTGTAGAAAACTTCTTGACCATCCAAAGCTCGAATTCGGGAATCGGCACAAGTAACGAGCAATCGAGATGAATTAAGGGGGCTAAACTGTTGAGGATCAAAGTCAGTTGATTCAACTCCGAATTTTTACCTGTGAATGCAAGTAGTAGTAGACATACCTGGAAACCAGTGATTTTTTTAAGATTGACCTTGTTTGAAATAGTGATCTGATCTAACTGAATTAATCTGCAGTCTAGAACCATCAATTGATTTAATGGTGAGAAAATAAATTTGAATCCAAAACTATCAACTTTAAATAAATAAATAAAAAACAGAGCACACCATACCCTCAGTACTGTATAGTCGACAACTGCCTTTATGTGTACCGATCATGGCACCCTTCAATAATCAGAATATATTTACACTTCAGAAATTTTATACATTTAAAAAGGATACCAGTTTGAGTTTAAAGTTTGTACATTATTAATGATTAAAAAATATTCTGAGCATATATTATCTTGTAATCACATCAAATTATTAATATATATATATATCGTGAAGAAGATAGACAGGAGGACCTGGCCATCAGGAGTGTAGCATGCAGCAGTAACCAATTCATTTAGATCAGTCCAATCAACGACTTGTCTGTCTGGTATGTTCCAAATCCTAACTTTTGTATCAAGTGACCCACTTATGAAATAATCATCATCAATGGGATTGAAATGTATACAAGTTACTGCCAAAACAAATGCCATGACTGTGTCAAAATGAGCTTCAGTTGAAGCTGAAATGAAAATAGTATCTCACCATAATCATTGTGGGCGAAAAGCTTTAAACAACTCTTGGTTTCCAAGTCCCATAGCCTTACGGTTTTGTCCATTGAAGATGAAAGCAATTGCTGCGAGTTTATTAGAGTCGTGTTAGAAGTTAGGGACTGACGCACATATTATGTCAAGACGTAGGAACTTCTCAACTCCCCCTCGTTCCTTCCTTGAGCGGAATGAAAACACATGGAGAATGGTGAGAATCAAACCTGAGATGTAGACCAAGACAAGTCCAAAACGTCGTCCAAATGGCCTTTGAAAGAACAGATTGGTCTATCCGACAGGGAGAAGACAGTTTCGGGTACATGAACGTAGCTAGGAATTTGATTGGCTTCTTTACTAGTGGATGAACATTTTTTAGTGAGCGATGATGAATGAAGTGGGGTTGAATTCCCACCATGGGTCGAACACCCTTCATTCATCGGCGTCACGTCACATTCCTGAACTTCCCACACATGGATGGTCGTATCCTCGCCGGCGCTGGCTAAAAACCTTGCGTCCGTACTGAACTTCAGGGTCCAGATGGATCCCTCGTGCGCTTGAATCTCTTGGCATATGTACAAAGCACTCAGTTCTTTATAAGATTTCCCAGTTTGTCGAACTTTCACCCATTGGTTCGTCCCATTGGCATTCTTGGCGTTCTTTTGATCCATGGGAAACAAATTGGCTTCCTTTTCTTTCTCACTTCTCAACGCCATTGCACTGGTGGCCACCTCTTTTATGCTTTTCAACACGGCGGCGCCTCTCTTCTTGCTCTCCTTCAAGCTCTTAGAAAGATACCAATTGAGTTTCCGATCGGGTCCGGTATCGTTCGTCATCGTGGGGTTAACGTTTTCTCGGCTCATTAACTCCTTCACCACCGGCGAATACCCGACGGATTTCTCGAATTCGTCGATTGTTAACTGCTTCCCGGTTTGGATATCGCTCAACTTGTTCCACATCCCGTCTTGGTCGTACTCGTTGACGATGAACTCCTTCCCCGTGTCCAGATTCTTAATCAGGAAAAAAGCTTCGAAACTACCCGATCTTGTTCCATCGTTTTGCTTCGGCGCGCAATTGATCTCTGAATCTTGAGTGGAAGCTTTAATGGCGGATTCATTGTTGTTGGGGTACGATTTTTCCGCTTGTAGGGTTGATTCTAAAGACGATGTTTTCGTCAAACGTTGCTTTGATATTGAATCGATGAATTGTTCTCTTCGTTTGTTCTCGGTTGAAAATGAATCGATTTCGCCTTCGGACCTTGATCCTCGGGGCAGAGTTGGAGGCGAAGAGTTAGACGTATCATCTTTGTGATGCACATGATCGTTTCGTTGCTGTTCCTCGCTTGGGACGGCCATTTTAACTTCGTGTGGCGACGGAATCTCCCCGTTAACGGCCTTAATGGAAGGGATGTGTTTAAAACTCAGGAGCTCTTTGTCGGGAGATAAACCCATGCCTTGAAAAAGACGTTGTCGACGTTTCGTAATGGACTCTTCTGGAGAAGCCATCCAGACATTGTAATCAGGCGCCATTGGTTTCACCGTCGCCGTCGCCCTCTTCGTTTCAGCCGTCGATAATGCTTGAGACTGCGTTGTATGGGCGGTGGGAGCATCGGGAGAGAAGGTCACCCTCGCCGTTTTCGTATTCGTGAACGCTTGAGGCTGCGTGGTACAGACAGGACTGGTGGCGGAACAGAAGCCCGCCCTTGCCGTCTCCGCTGTTGGGACCGCCTGAAACTGCACCGTATGGAAGGGCGCAGCGGTAGAGAAAGAAACGCGGCAGTCATCGAAATCTTCTTCGACGCCGGAGAGAGCCGAGTCTTGAGGTACGGCGCAGGATATTCTATTACAAGGTTCAAAGAACTCGTCGTCGTCATCACCAAGGCCATCCCAACTCAAGGTCATGGTTTTTCTTCGCTGCAATCTTCGTGTGTCCATCTTGGGTCATTTGATACAAAACATAAACCCAAAGGTTACCACCTTTGACGTTCAAACTTCCGATTTGTTTCAACAATTTTTTTTTTTTGGAATGAAATCGGGAAGGAGAGAGGAAGGATGGAAGAGAGAAAAATAAGGGAAGTTAAGGAGATGAAACACGAGAAACGGTCAAATAGGGTCGTGTAGTTTTTATATTATATATGAGCAATACCCAACTTACACAATCTAATTTTTTTTTTAGTTTTACACATATTTAAGATTGTTAGATGAGTGAAAATAGATGACACAAATTAACAGTAGGATATTTGAATATATTTACTTGGAAAAAAAACAAATAGTCAATCTGAATCATCTATTTTCACTCATACAACGTTCTTAAATATGTGTAAAAAACTAAAAAAAAATTACATTATATATATATATATATATATATATATATATATATATATTATCATGATTAAAAGAATTATTATTATTCTTAAAATTTTGAATTCGAACACAATGTTTATAAATGTATTTAAACATTTATTGTCAAATGATTAAAAAAATTTCAAATATATATTACTTTATAATCACCACAAACAATAAAAAGGAATGTTTTCATTCCATGAATTCGCCACATATATTTTATAGCTTGCATTATTTGTGTATGGATCAAGATTTTTTTTAGAAGTTTGGTATTTGAACACAATATTTATAAGAGTGTTTAAGACTTTTATTATCGAATGATTAAGAATATTTTAAACATATATTATTTTATAATCACATCAAATTAATTATAAAAATTAATCATAAAAAGATATTTCCATCCCATGAATTCGCCACATATATTTGTAGCTACCATTATTTGAGTTTAGATCATGATCATGGACTTCCACGCTCTTTCAACTCAACTTAGGTCAACTCAACTATACCTATTTTATCATTTTAAAAAGCCTAAGCAAAAAAATGATTAATTGTACTGATTTGATTCGATTTGATTCGATTATGAGCTGGGATTTTTTATACTGATCGATCGGAAAAAAGGTGTTGGAATGGGTAGCCTTGGTGGTATGGGCTTTTGAAGTGAGAATGAGGAGTAAATTTTTGGTCTTTTTTCTTCAATAAATAACTATATTTTATAAAACACATATTTAAAAATTACTCAACTGCACGAATCAAGTGTCCTCCGTAGTAAAGGAAATGTTGTTATTCTTGAGATGTCGGGTTCGAGCAACATAAATACCAGAAGTGTGAGCGATCAATGTCGAAAAATTGAGAGTTTATCTTTAAACAGATAGTGCCTTATATTTGCCCCATATTAATAAAAAAAATAATCAACTAAAAAATTTTAAATATTTTTTTTACTTTTTTATACGTAATAAATTTTCAATTATAGAAAATCAAGATCAAAAAATATTGAAAAAGTTAAACATGGACAATTTAATTGAAAATTATTTACTCTTTTAAGATTTCTTTATCAATCTGGATGATTATAGTGTAATATTTGTTCATTATCTTTCTTAATATTTAACAACGTATACACCCTACAGACGTAACTGCTTGAACTTAAGACTTTATGTAATAACAATATTCATTTCAACCACTGAAGTAATGAGTTTTATTTACACTTTTAAATTTGAGTTGAAGAATGATATGATTTGTAATTGGGTGTTATTTTAGACATCCAAAATTTAATGTTTAAATAAATAAATTCAATGTGTATTTTTTCCATCATTTTTTAATAATTTATTTTTTCACTCTAATATTTAATTATATTTTGTCACTCTTTGTTCTGTGTTTTTATTTTTTTTATATTATGTTATCTTGTATTATCTTGTTCTTTTTATCTCTTTAGTTCATAAGAGTTTTGTATCTTGCTGTAAGGAGTTATTTTAAATTCTTATTTTAAATTAATAGTTGTGATTCATTAAAATCATAAATGGCAATTCATAAAATAATTTCTCCTATCAATCACTATGGTCGAAGGTCAATAAATTCAAAAAGCTTTAATATACATAAGGTACCCAACGTATGTATGTTTTTTTAGTTTAGTGTCTAACGTTTTTTTCGTTCTAGTTTGGTGCCTAACGTTTCATTCTGTCACTCAAAATGGGTCACACCGTGATGAATCGTTAGTTTTCTCCGTTAAGTGACACGTGTCACAATCCGGTAATTTTTTTAAAAAAATATTTAAAATTAAAAAAATAAATTTATATTAATTTTAGAAAAGAAAACACAAAAATTTTGAAATAACCCCAAAACTTTAAAAACGATCATTTCAACCCATTAACCTTTAACCCGTTGTCGAGACGGTATTTGCCCGGCGAAAAACAAAGAACACACAAGTGTCATTGTCTCGAAAAAAATAAGTGTTTATCTTCTGGCATAAGATAAAACACAAATTTGAGGAGTCGCCACCAATCATTTGTCGAGGTGTGATTGATCACCAAAATGTTATGTTATTTTAATAAAATTCATAAAAATAGTATTAAAATAACACTATTAAAATAACACAAAAAGAGTCTTCTTACCAGAAAATGAGTTCGGGAGTCGGTTACGTGTAGGGAATGATTAGCACCCCACAACGCCCAAAATTAGTACCTTTGTTTATTAATTAGTTGTCTTTACAGTAGAATTTACAAATTTGATTTTAATAATTAAAACATGAAAATAGCAAAGTTCCAGGTTACTATTACAAAGACTAATATATTAAGTACAATAAGTGTAAATAATCCTATAATAATATTAAATATTAAAGTTATAGGGATTAAATTGCAAAGTAACTAAATTAATGGTCATAATTCGAAACATCATGAAATCTAGGTACTAACAATGTAATTTAACATTTATTACTAATCGTGATTAAAAAATAAATTATTAAAACCTAAGGGATTAAATCTGGTATTTTACCCTAAATATATACATGCTAATAATGACTAAAATAATAATAAAATAAAATATGAAAACCGAATTGAAATGCACAAAAATCAATTTTAATGATTTAATTAAAATGTTACAAAACCATAAGGATTGCGCAAGGGGTTTTCCCATGTTTGAATTATAGAAACTCCTCCCCCAAAACGACGCCGTATGTGGGAGGGTATTTATACCCGAATTCAACCTCGAAGGGCCTCAACTTTCTTATTTTTCTCATTTGGCTTTTCTCTCTGACAGAGATGAGCTCTGACTTCTCTCTAACTCCCTTACCGGAGAGAGATCCCGCCACCGTCGGCCACTGTACGCCGGCATCGACAACAATCTCCGACCATCGTTCACGGTGGCTGAAAAACACCAAAATATCCCGAATCAAAGCCCTTTCTCCCCTGAACCTAAATCCGACCTTGTTTTTAACCGAAAAATATCATACCAAAGTAGATCTACAAATTTTTACCTTCGAAAAATCTTTTCTCTGGTGACGTTTGTAGCTTTAGATGGCGGGCGAGGCCTCGAGGGTAAGACTCTTCTTTTTCTCGGCTTTTCCCTATTTTTTTGTTGGTTGCTGTGTATTTGTTGTTTTCTTCCTATTTTTCCTTTGCAGGTTCGACCCTATTTATAGGGTCCTTCGAATCACCGCTCGGACTGATTAATAGAGAGAACCCCGGTGAGTCACCAGAGCTACGGTGGTGACTCACCCTAGGGGTAGTGAGATGTGCGGTTGGTAGGTTGGGTGCATTAAATGCACCCAGATCTCTTGGATCCGGTGATGAGTTGGTGGCTGCTGGTTGGGGCACATGGAGGCGGTGCCGGTGAGTTTATCATCAAGCTATGACGGCGACCAGAATAGCCCTAGGGTTGTAATGAAACCCTAGGGTTTCTGGAAACTCCATCTGGGCCATTGGATCTCTCCAAATCCAATGGTTGTGATCTGCAATGGCTACAGTTGAGATGTGTGAAACCCTATATACATTTGGGCCTCTTGAGCCTGCTGATTGGTTTGGGCCTGTCTCGGAATGTTGGGTTATTCGGGTTTGGGCTTGTAAAGGGCTCCAGATTATGGGCCTTACTTTGTAATATTAGGCTAGTAACAAATTAATAACAATAATAATAATATTGTTATTATTATTATTATAAAAAGTGTGACGAAAATGACTGTCGACAGCTGTCACTCTTTGCTCATTTTTTTGTTAACAAGAATAGAACAAAGATAAAAAGACAAATATTTTTCGTCCAATTGACCTCATACTTGATCTCATTTTGCTTCACTACTCTTTTGTGAAGGATTGATTACTTTGCTTTACTACTATTTTGTAAAGGCTTTGATTGCTTTGCTTCACTACTCCTATGTGAAGGCTAATATTGATTTTCTTCTTTACTCTTTTGTGAAGGTTGAATTTGCTTTGCTTTACTACTCTTTTGTAAAGGTTGGATTGCATTGCTTCATTATTCTTTCGTGAAGGCTGGATTTCTTTACTACTCTGCTGTAAAGGTTGGATTGCATTGCAACACTACTCTTTCGTGAAGATCAGACTCGAGGTTGATTTGCTTCCACTACTCTTCCGTGGAAACCAAATCTGTAATATTGAGAAGAACAAGTTCCACTACTCTTTCTTGGAGATTATAATAGAGTTGTGCCTTTTTTCCGGGATTTTGAGTTGATTACTCCTATCTTCGAATTTCGATATCTTCAACCTTCATCTTTCTTTTGAGAAACCTGTAGATATGATATTATATATACTACCATGCGTTTATGAATGAAATGATCCTATTTATGCCTAAAATGTGTGTAATGATGAAATTTTAGGGTATTTTCTTTTTCAAATAAGGACCCTCTCTTGTTGTCCATCTTTGACTTGATTCCATTTTTTTTGGTCAAACACGATCTTAGTTTTCGTTCTTGTTGAACCCCACTCGTACGAATGACAAACCACTCGGCAAATATTTCAGATCATCTTCAAATATCTGAAATTTTCTATGTACTTCAATGTTTCATGTATCATGTTATCACGGGTTAAAATCATTATCAGCTTCAGAATACCTGCACTTTT